TAAAATGAGGAATCTGGCACAGCTAGTGGAGTTCTCTCACCTTTGTGAGAGATCTAGGCTGGCTCATCAATCCCCACCCATTTGTCCCTGGACGTTTGTGTCTTGCTAGGATGCTGAGTGGGGTTTAGCAGAGCTTTCAGATTAAGATGGACTAACAAGAAAGGCCTAGTGATCCACTTCTGAGAAAGTAAAAAAAAAAAACCTCAATGATGTTGAGTCAGAACCTACTTACAGCTGACCTTCCAGCATGTTTTCAGAATCTGTCAATTGCATGGGAAGAGATTGTCTATCTTTCGACCTCAGAGCAGCCAGTGGATTCGAACCACCTGCATTTGGATCGGTAGTGCAACTTCTTACCCACTAGACCACCAGTGCTGCTTCTGCAAGTGAGTCAGTGAAAACCCCTGTGGTTCACAGCAATCCTATCCACAACCAGGCCTGGAGATGCCACAGTACCATCTCATACCAGGGTTCTTGGTATCTTCATGAGTCAGAGTTCAATGGCAGCCAACAAGAAAAATCTCTGGTAGTAGTTTAGCTTAGTTTTTGGGATAGACTTTTCAACCATTCCGTAAAGGACAAAGGCTCCCAGGCCGTAGTTAGGGGAAAACTCAGTCCTAACTTTACATTAGCACCTCTGGTATAATTAGAGCTGAATGGGAGTCACTCCTCGTCAAGGCCAATTTCACTGAGACACTGACCAAAGCCAGTTCAGAAAAATCCTTAGGGTCAGCTTAATCTCACACTTCAGACAAATTCTGAGCTTCATTCATCCATTTACATGTTTATTCCCGAAGCCTATTTCAAGCACCTGTTATGTGCCAGGTGCTGTGCCACGAACAGGCAGTGATAAGCAGGTGCCATGCAGCCTCTGCTTCTTACAGCTTTAGTAGTAGAGGTGCTGGATGTTAAACAAGTCCTTCCACAAATACTTGTATTTTGTAATTAATTAAGTCACTGAACTTTGTCTTGGTGCATCTTGGTCTCAAGTACTCATTGCTACAATAATTCACCTTTTGAGAAAAGGAAGTAGAGAACAGATTCCTAGGATAAATTGTTCAAATAACATCCATGAGTCTTGGACTCTTGTATGAAAACTCTTAACATGGTATCTGTAGGCTATGGAGTCAGCTCCCATTGGCATTACCTATTGTTAGGATCTAGATTTGCTTTTGGAGGTTGTCCAGATTCCACTGCAGAGCCTGTTTTCCATTCTTCCTGGAGAAGTAGGTGCCGAAAGTTGGGCTTTATGGTATAGTCTCAATCTCAGAGGACGAGGAACCATATCTGAACATGACGTAGTGTGTTCCCAAAGAGATGTTCCTGTGTCTGGTACTGCAGGGTCTTCAGCCCGCTGAGGATATACTGGCACCCTAAATGACGCTCAAATTTGCTATCAAATGAATGTTTTCAGACCTCTAAACAGTCTTTCATAGTCTTCAAAGAAGCTACAATTAACATCTCCCAAGCAGCCCGACAGAACTTGGTTGCTAGGCAGCAGACCTTTAAAGACAACCTGTCGGTTTCTGCCCAAAGAGAGAAAAAAAAATAGTAAACATTCACATTCTAAGAAAATTCCTTGTTTTCCATCTCCCAACTTTCTTACAGTGCCAAGGCCTCCCGTTTTATCAACGTCCATTTTATTTCGTTTTCTTTAGAAAATTCATGGAAGTTTTAGGAAGATAATTAAACCTTTTTCCAAGCCTAACTCCTTGTTGTTGAAAACATAAAGGCATTTAGATTAGAGTTGTGGCCAGATTCTGTCTTCACAAACTGAGAATCTTTTGGTAGGTGTGAAATACCCAGTTGCCTGGCTATGACCAGCACTAATAACCTTGAATGACAGCCAGAAAAAGTAGGGGCAGGTCTGTTGAGTGCAATCCTAGGGCCCAGCCAGAGCGAGCCTGACCTCGCCGAGCCACTCTTTAAATAGAGAAGACAGCAAAAAAACATATTCTGATACAGGGAGTAGGGTTCATATGTGACACAAAACCCAGCCTGAGATGAGGAAAGATTTCCCAGAGCAAAGGTAGGCTGGAGTGAGATCTTGAAGACAAAGTGAACCAGTTTATCTGGCAAGAGAGAAGAGTGTTCCAGGCAGGGTATTCTACTGCAAAGGGCAGAGGGTGACAAGTTCATCTGTGTGGCCACAGAGGTCTAGGGAGGAGCCTACAATTCTTCCTGAGGACAGTGGGTTTCCACCCACTGGAGGGCTGGGCTGCAGGAGCCACTGTCAGATTTGCGTATGCCATTTGGAGGAGCCATCTGATTAGGCCTAAAGGTGACTGACAGGATGTTAGACCAAGTTTGAAAACCTCATTGAGTGTGTGGCCGGAAGGGGCTAGAGGCTGTGGGAGAGTGCTGTGGCTGAAGTGATACTGGCCTGGCCTCCTTTTCCAATTCCAACCTGTGAGACCTTGGGAAGTTACTTAACTAACCTGAGCCCCAGGCTTCTTGACTGTAAAGTTGAGATCATAGTACTGCCTACCTCACACAGTTTAAAGATCCGTGCTAACTTAACTCAAGCACAGTTCTTGGCCTGGTCGTCCGTACTTCGTGATCTTTCAGTGATCTTTCAGTGTTATTGTCTGGTAGGTTGCTCTCCCCACATTTGCGTGAGTCCTCTGCCTGAAGAGGTCAACAGTCTTCCCCTTGTACTCTAAGTGACCCTGGATAAAACATAAGACTCTTGGAACCAAAGTTCCCTTCTTGCCTCCCTGTAGTCTGCCTAACTGCACTATGCGGGGTCTCTTGGAATGAGCCCAGGATGCCTTCCTGCCCCAGCTTGTTAGTTCTGAGCCTAGGTCTGGGTCCACTCCCCTTTCCTTCTGGGGTGGCTGACCCTCTGGTGTGAGCCCTGGTTCCTGGGCATCGGTCCACGCAGTCAGGGCGTTCAGGCTCACATGGTTGAGGAGTTCAGCCTCTGGATGTATTCCCGAAGTGTCTCATCCATTCAGGGTTGTGTGCTGTTAAGTCGGTTTTAAGACTGTGAGCGTGTGTTCAGAGTAGACTTGTGCCATGGGGTTTTCTAGCTGTAATCCTTACTGCCAGGTCTTTGTTCCACAAAGCCACTAGGTGGGTTTGAACCTTCAATCTTAGGGCTAGCATCAGAGTGTTTAATTATAGTGCCAGCAGAGCTCTTTGAGTCGGTCAGTAAGAGCCGTCTGAGGGCGACAGGATTTCATATGCCACACCATTGAACCAATTGGGTCTGAAGAATTTTTAGGCAAACTTGAGGCCACTCTAAGGAACCTTTTGGTGCCGTGGGTTAAGCATTGACCTGCTAAGCTAAAGGTTGGCCGTTCAAACCTATCAGCTGCTTTGTGACAGAAGGGTGAAGCCGTCTGGGTGCATTCCCATTTACACCTTTGGAAGCCCTCTGGAGCAGTTCCAGCTGTCCTGTGGGATTACTGTGAATCGGACTCAACTTGGTAACAGTAGATTGGACGGTACAGTGGTTAAGGTGCTGGACTACTAACCTAAAGGCCAGAAGTTCAAATCTACCGGCTGCTCCGTGGGCGAAAAGTGGCAGACTGCGTTCATAAAGGTTCACAGTGCTGGAGGTCCGATGGGGGTGTCCTGCTCTGCCCTACATGACTGCATTGAGTCCAGATCAACTTGATGGCAGGAGGTTTGTGTCCATTTGGGGTTTCAGTTAACCCCTCTCTTTCTGGACATAGCAGAGACTCCCAAGGCCTCAACTGGGAAAAGCCACAGCCACAGAAAGGGGGCTGCTTCAGGACACCCTAAATCACCCAGCACCCAAGTCTTCATTCTTAGCTCCTTGCTAATAAGATATGCAAATTATCAGGGCTGTGAAATCTTAGCCACATTCCATCTTATGTTTAATTAGCATTTAATCGTAATCTCATTTTAATTTTCTCACACTGGCACCCTAATTAAATGTTAGGGTGTTAGTCTTAACAATTAAATTATATTGGCAAATAGAGTCTTCAAGAAACTTGACCTTTTCCGAGCCAGGGCCCTCTCCATCTAGATGCAACGTTAATTAGAGTTGTGCAAGGTGCTGTTTCCAGCCCCCTCGGTCCACCCATTTCAGTCTTTGCCTTGTGGTTATGGCCCTTGATGGAAATGAGGCCCCCAGCAGACAGAGGCTGCTGCTGAACCTGGTTTCCTCAACCTGTGGAAGGCTGAATGATCCAGTTTGGCCCCAGGCACATCACTGGGTGCTGATTTGAGGTGGGGGGTTGGTTTGAGGGGTTGCTATTTCCTCTGAGGCCTGGTGTTCTCCTTGAAGTGCTTTCTCTTAACTCAGAGATGTGAATTCTGCTTTGACTTGTGACTCTCAAGAGATCATTCATCACTGGGAAAGTTGCTACTTGACCAAGTCGCATGCCCTCTCCAGAGGTACCATCAAGTCCCAGACAGCGCTCTGTGGGAGGCGCTGTGAGATCAGGCTCCCAGAGCAGGTGGTATTACCAGAGTTGGCTGGGACTGGGTTTGGAGATTGTTCTAGGACAGAAGGAAGGGAAGCAACAGATAGCAGGTGTTGGAAAGAATTGTTTTCTCCTGAGTGAGCCAGCGCAAAGAGGGATAAGTCATTGGTGAATTAGGATGCATGGTGTTCCTGCTCTTGAGGGACCCTAAAGGGCCTGACCCCTGTGAAGCCATTCTGTAAGTTGTCCCAAGCCCTCAGATATTTGCATAAGGTCCTGGCATTGAGCTGGTGCACTCTTTCACACCTTCACTTATGCCTGTGGTTTCGAATAGCACAACATACTTTTAAGCCTCAGTGGAAATTCCCTAAACAGTCATTTAATGGCAGCTTTACATTCGTAGAAACCTCTCTGGCATCCATTTTTTCCTTTCTCTGCAAGTCTTTTTCCTTCTCTTTAGGTACTGCTTCCATCTATCCCTCAAACACAGTCCTTTTGTTGGTCAGAACACATGTGAATTCAAGTCAGCACATTTATTGAACATCTGCCGTTTGCAAAGCAGCTTTGCTGGGTTTAATCTCAAGTTGCTCTTGCTCCTGCCAGGTTTTCCGGACAGACTTGATCACAGCCATGAAGATCCCAGACTCATACCAGCTCAGCCCAGATGACTACTACATCCTGGCAGACCCATGGCGACAAGAATGGGAGAAAGGTGTGCAGGTGCCCGCAGGCGCGGAGGCCATTCCAGAACCTGTGGTGAGGTGAGCAGAATGGCTGGGGCTGGGAGCCCGTAGAGACAGAGTGCAAAGAGAAGCTGCTTCTTGGGCGAAGGACCTTCCTGTCCTGGATTTCCTTTCTAGCCCAACTCCATGCTGTATTTTATTCTCCTCTCCCAAAAGCTCCTGAAATGTTCCAGAAGTACCTACCTGCTCTTGACCTTTGAGGCCAAGGGCTCAGGCATGGGGTCACTTCTGGAATGAGAATACCTAGGTTCAAATCCTGTTGTTTGCCATCCACATGCCATGTGACCTTGGGCCACAGGAATATATTCTCTGGGCCTCCGTTTCCTTGTCTGTGAAATGGGATTGATAACACTTTGCTCACAGTGGTCCTGACAATATCTCTGTCACAACTGGGTGAATTAGATGTTACTGATGGATTAGATTGAACCAATCCAAACTAAGTCCCAAAGAGATCTTTATGGGGAAACTTATAGGCTTTTAACTCCTTAAGGTAGCCAAGCTCTTCACATAACTTTCAAAAGTTCTAGGGAGGTAGGGGTTGGAGCATCAAGGGCTTAACACACTGCAGATGCACAGGACATATTGGCTATTATCTGCCTCTGAGGAGGCCCCTCTGCCAACAGTGGGTCAGGATAAGTCTTCTCTGGACTGTGAAGTGTCCTATATTCAGAGAGCCTGCCTGTGGCTGAGACTCTTGTCAGGAGGTGACTTACATGGCCATGAGCTTTCTGCATCTATAGAGTTCAGGCCAAGGCTGTTCTCTGCACCCAAGGAAACTTTCTGAGGTATGACTTGAGGCAGATGGACTAATGGCGCTATTTTATAGCTATGTGGCCTGGGCTGGACACTTGGCTCATTGGCAATCTGCTGATGACCTTGGCGGCCCTTGACTGTTGCTCAGGCCTCGGACAAAAATTGCTGCCATCACCTTCCTTGACACTGGCACTGCTGCTTCTCTGGCAGCTGCACCCATGACTGGCTCACATACACTTCATGCCAGTCCTTTACTGGGCGTGAGATCACAAAGGCGAATCTGGCTGTTGGGAAGAACTGAGCCTCCTCCTATGTCTCCTGCCACCTACTTGTGAGGGCCACATGCCTACCAACACCTGTCCAGAGTTCTCTGGGAGTCAGGGGAGCCCAGATCTCACTGGAGAACTTAGAGATTTGGAGAATGAGTCTATTTACATCCCTGCCCAGGATCAAAAACCTGGCTCTCACCTCTAGTCAATCTCAGACTTCATCTCTGCAGACTAGGAACCTCTTTGGGCTATTTCTTCACCTGTAAAGTGGCTGTGTTAACAGGGCCTGCCTGACAGGGTGGTTGTGAGGATTAGATGAGACTGTGTGTGCCAGGTTATATCACAGTGCTTGGCACATACCAGGGCCCAAGGCAATGCAGGAGGGGCTGAATACCAGCTGGACAGGGAGAGGTGAGTCCTGACCAGGTTCAACCCAGCAGTCTTGGCCTCTTTCTTTGACGTTGTGTCAGGTGGTTCTGGAAACCTCTTCTGGCCTGGGTGATTAACTGCAGATGCCTCCACACCAGTAGCTGGGCTTTGGCCTGCCTGTAAGGCGCCTTATCTGTTGCCATCAAGAGGAAGGCATGTGTTGAGGCGGCTTTGGCGTTTAGGTGTGTTCCCAGCAGACGCATGGCCGCCCTGTGCCCACAGGAGCCAGGTGCTCCTGGGCTGCCCTGCTCTCTGGAGGGGGTAGGTTGGGGGTGGGGAGGGTACATATGGTTTTCTCTCTCTAGTTCAGCCTCTCTGTCTCCTGGGCCCTTCCAACTGCAAAGCCCTCATCTGGAAGCCAGCTTGGCAATCACCGTGGTCATAATGGTTATAGGCTCTGTTTCCAAGTACTTGCTATGCCGAGCTTGTGATGTTCCTTTTCTCATTTAATTATCATATGAAGCATATATTTCTGCCCCCATTTTATAGATGAGGAAGTCAGAAAATTCTGGGGACTTCCCTGAATGATCTGGGGCCCAGTGAGCTGGGCCAGGAAATCAGAGGCCATGAGAAGGAGCCCAGGGTGCCCCCAAGAGGCCCTGGATGCTGTTCTGACTGGCCTCCACCAGTGGCTACCTCAGGCTGCCTCTGTTTCTCCATCCCTTTCTGGTCCTCTCTGTCCACCTATTAGGAGAACAACCTACTTTGAGCTAAGTGGGGGCTTGCCCTTTTTGGCCAAAAAAATCAGCTCAGTACACCTGCTTCTGTGCCTGGTCTTTTAGGGTAGAGACCCATCCCACAGCCTTCAGATCTCAAGCCCTTCACTGCTCCTTTGAGCCCCCCTTCGTCTTGCTGTTGAGGGTAAGGCCTTGGCCTAGGATCAGGTCAGTCCACGCCTGGTTGAATCGTTTCCTCTGGAGCCGAAGCCAGAAGGGGTTGAACAGATGGAGGAGAAAGCTCCAGAAAGCACAGGAAATACCTTTTCTGGTGTCAGCCCCAGCTTTCCAGAGCAAGGATGTGATCTGGAGCCCCAGGAGACCTAGCCAGGTGGCAGCCAGCACGGCCAGCAGGTGGAGGTAGTTAGGCCAGTAGCTGGTGAGCATGCAGACAGGGGTTGCCCAGAAGCCAGACGAAGCTCATACTTGGGGCTCAGAGCAGAGTCACAACAAAATTAGGGGCTAGCTTTTATTTTGTTTTGTTTCTCTTAAAGAATGTGTTGTTTCCGATAATAGTTTCACAAGGGAGGTCAGAACTTGTTGAACTAAGAATCCTGCTTCTATTTGGAACGGCCGGACTATTGGGAAGAGAGGTGGCCCCATTATCATCGCCTAAGGTCTTCCTCACACTGTCCTTCCTGTGTGGTGATGGTGGTGCCAAACCTTTCCCCTTTCCCCTTCCTCCCTTATCCCCTTGACTGCATTTGGCATCCTTCCCTCTTGGCTTGGGCCTCTGTCTTCTTCAACCTTAGTGTTCCTCTTGCCAACACCCCGGGCGTTTCCTGGAGCCTGAGGGCCGGCCCCACCCCGCGGCTGAGCAGTGCTCTGTGCCATCCAATGTTCTGCCCTCCCCTCCTCAGCCTGCAGCTGAGTCACAGACCCTGGCAGCAGCCCTGCCTTCGACCCCCAGGAGGCCTCTCCTGGGCAAGTGAGGGGCCTCTCAGCCCTAGCAGGGCTGGCCAGATGGAGGCCAGGCTCCACAGCAATAACCATGGCAACCGGTGGGGGTTGGGAAGAGTTGGCATTTTGAACTGGCATCAGAAACTGAGGGGCAACCCACAGCTGAGTCAAGAGAGGAAACTGCCCTCTCAAAGCAGAAGCCCTTAGATTCCACCTCAGAAGAAAGGTGGTGGTGTCCAGAGGTCTTCAAGATGCACTATCTCACACATACTGCACTTAACTGTGTGCCAAGCACTTCTCAGTGCTTTACATGTGTTAATTCACTTAATCTTCACACCATCTCGGAAAGCTAGGAACTATGACTGCTTTACCAGTCTCTTGATGTGAATGTAGGGCAACAGAGAAGTCATCTGCTCAAAGTCACACATGAAATGGTGGAGCCAGGACTTGAGGCCACCAGGCCCAGAAGCCAGGACGGCCTTTACAAGCGGCCTCGAAAAAAGAGTCATGGTCCCAAGGGTGGATTCGGGAGACTGTGGCTAATGCACCTTTGTGTCAGTGGCCTCCTGTTTGGGGTAACACTACAGTGAGAGACTCCTTGCTCATGGAACATTGTAAGACATGCTATGTCCCCTGTGGGGTTGTGTCCTTTTTTGTAACAAGAGTCACCTGGGCTGCAGCTGTGTAGCTGAACAGAACCACTCAATCCATGGAGATTTCAGGCTGTTTACTGGTGAAGGAAGGGGCTGGGGTATGTGAGGGCGTGTAGACCATCCCTGACTCCTCTGCAGCCTTGAAGGGCATACCTGCTGGCCTTGAACCCTTTGTGCCAAAGTGGCTGTCACAGTGATAGCCCAGGACAGGACTTGCGATGCATTCCATAGACTTGGTCAGGCCAGATCAAGACCTTGGGCCTTTGCTCCGTCCCAGATCCCCTCTTGTTGAGGGGCTGGTGGAGATGTGCTGTGGACAGTTGGGATGTGTACTGTAGGGTTTGTAGAGCAAGAGCTGTGTCATTAGCCCACTCCCATCCCCTACTCTACTCCTGAATCCTTTGCATCTTCTGTGTCCTGATTGTTACCCATGGTCATGTGAGTCTGTACAGGGCAGGGAGATGGGCAGGAGGCAATGTAAGTAGGGGGACCAAAGTGAGGCTGCATGGCATCAAAAGTCTGGCAGCCTCACTTGCCTACTATCTCCTGGGCCAATTAGTGAGGCACAGGAGTCCTCTGGAGTTTCCTAAACCCAGTCAGGTGACAGGCTGAGCGTTCTGCCCCTCACAACACCTCTTCTTGATTTCCTAGGCTCCTCCCACCGCTAGAAGGCCCCCCTTCCCAGGTGTCTCTAAGCAGCTCTGACCTTGGCGAGGGTTCCCAGCCTGACTGGCCAGGGGGCAGCCGCTATGACCTGGACGAGATCGATGCCTACTGGCTGGAGCTCATCAACTTGGAGCTCAAAGAGATGGGTAGGTGACCCACCAAGTTACGAACGGGGATCAGCATCGGCAAACAGGGTGGGGGTTGTCTTCCAAACCCCTGCGTCCTTTCTCAGAAGAGCAGTGGCCAAGACTGAACTTTGGCATGGATCTGAATTGGGAGTGATGGGGTGGAGAATCATACAGAGCAGAGAAATTCTTTACTGTTATGTGCTGCTGTTTCTGTAGTTGCTGAGAGGATAATACCACGTAATTGTAGTTTTAGGGACTATGGTAGTAAGCACGAATATTACATGAAGCATACAGAAGTATAAGGTGTATCTAGGGTGACAAATGGAGCCAGAGGTTACAAGATAGAAGTTTCCTGGCTGGAGTCCATTAACATATCTCAGGAAGGGCCAGTTCTGCCATATTCAGCCACCTTCAGAAGTCCCTTCCTACTCACGAACAGTAGATTCAGCTGGGAGCTGACTTCATCCCAGGACACTTCCCTGCAGCCTGTCCTCTGTCGGTGCACCTGTCTGTAGTAACAGTCAGGCTGTCTCATGTATAACAGACACCATGATGGGTTGGGGTCTTAGAGACTGCCTGGTCTAGCCCATTCTGTTTTCAGATGATAGAACTGAAGCCCAGAGATAGTGGCTTCTTTTTCCCAGGCCACACAGTTGGTGCATGTGGGAACCCTCCCCGGCTTCCCACGTCCCCAGGAACTGAGTGCTCCTCAGAGTTCCAAGGAGATTGGGCTCCTCACACCGTCCCCCGTTGTCCTCCATGCAGAGAAGCCAGGGCTGGATGAGCTGACCTTAGAGCGTGTGCTGGAGGAGCTGGAGACGCTGTGCCACCAGAACATGGCTCGGGCCATCGAGACGCAGGAGGGCCTGGGCATCGAGTATGATGAGGATGTGGTTTGTGACGTGTGCCGCTCTCCCGAGGGCGAGGATGGCAATGAGATGGTCTTCTGTGACAAGTGCAATGTCTGTGTGCACCAGGTGAGTAGGCCCATGACGCCCCTAATCCCTCCACACATACGCACGTGCACACTTTCAGGGCGGGTCCCCATTCTCTGTAGAGTTGGACTTCCTGCCTGTAAGAGTGCTGGGTCACTAAGCAAAGACTCCCTCAGGAGAAGAAATAGCGTGAATACTCCTTGGTGCCAGGAACATCCAGGACCCTTTGATCCAACCCTGCCAACCAGACTTGAGGAAGTGACCATTGAGTCTTCTTTTTATCTTCCTCTCAGACCTTCCCAAGGTGCACCCTGCTCCCTCACATACACACACCCCACCCCCGCCTTGACGCTTGGCTCCTCATTCTGTATGTTCACAGAAGCAGCCCCTCTAGAGAGGTAATTTGCGAGTAAAATTTGATGCCAGGCTGCCTGATTTAAAATCATGACTTTACCCTTCACAAGCTGTGCAACTTCGGGCACATTTCTTAACCTCTCTGGGCCTCTTTTTCCTCAACTGTAAATAAAAGGATTATGTTACTGTGAGTTATTTGTTTAAAACAGCATACTCACTAACAGACTGTAAATAATTGTTTCCAGTATTAGTATCATAAACCAGGTGCGGCCTTGCCAACCTCCTCACCTGACCTGGAGCCCCAAAGGATTTTATTTTTTGGCATCTCTGAGCCTTGTTTGCTGAGGCCTAACTAGGACGCATAGGACCCCTCCCTGAGAAGGGCACTTTGATTTGACCACCTTGGAGGTTGGCATTACCCACTAATAAGAGACACACTCTGGGGAGCTTATGGTGAGGGGCTTCCATAATAGGCAGTGCGTCTCTTAAGCATTCATGTTCCCAGCAGCTCTTGGGTCCACATGTCTCTCCCAAGCCCAGTCAGCCACAGGAGGAACCCTGCTCACAGATCTCAGTTCAAATAGTGTGAAAACTCTGGGCCTTGTCTCTGGACTTAAGGGGCTTAATAGACTCTCCTGAAGAGAGTCTCCAGCTTTCATTATGAACCACGGTTAAAGTGACTGTCCCCAGCAGGGGGTAGACGGCAGCAAAACACAGGGAATTTATCTTAATGCCAGCTTGTCAGGCACAGGCCTCCCTTCTGGAAGCTGGACACAGCCTAGTTCAGGGCTGAGGCTGAGGCCCACACCCATCCCCTCATCCCCTTGCTCAGACGTGGTTGGCCGATGCCTCTGACTCATGGCCACACCGCTTTCTCCCCAGGCGTGCTATGGGATTCTCAAGGTGCCCACCGGTAGCTGGCTGTGCCGGACGTGTGCCCTGGGTGTCCAGCCAAACTGCCTGCTCTGCCCCAAGCGAGGAGGGGCCCTGAAGCCCACCAGAAGTGGGACCAAGTGGGTGCATGTCAGCTGTGCCCTGTGGATTCCAGAGGTGAGCAGGCGTGGGAGGTGGGACACACCAGGGATCAGTTGGTGAGGAAGTTAGTCTCCATGGAGCTCCTAATTCAGGGAGCAGAATGCTGGGGAATGAGTGCTGGAGGACCCAGGGGGCCAGATTACGGCTCTGGGCAGAGCTCAGCAGCCATGCTAGAGAGCTCAGCCTGGGACCTGGGCAAAGCTCAGATGGGATAGTGAATGGGAGATTCTGGTCTGGGGTCTGGATAGGCAAGGCAACAGAGTAGAAAGGAAAACAGGTTGTGGGTCCAGCTAAATTTAGGCAACAATGCCAACCTATGTGAAGTCACAGATTTTAAATGAAAATAAGTCGCTTTTGGAGGGGGAAAAAATAAACCCTCAGGCTGTGAACCTAGTTAAAATTGAAGTAGTAGGTCTGTTCCAGCCATGACCAGGATGGAGGCAAGCACCTGTGTCTCAGACCAGAGTAATTTAGCAAGAGACCCTTGGTTCATAGAAGACCATCTCATTTTATTTAAAATAGAAAGTGCTTAGATCCACCAGTGTATGAGCTCCAGCCCTCCTGTGAGCCATGACCCAGAATGTGACCTTGCTTCTGTGCTGCCTAAGCCAGGAGCAAGCCAGGTGACCATGTCAGCAAGTGACCCCCACACCGCAGGCTTCTGTGATGGTAATTTTTGTGGTAGTAATCACTCGTACCCAGCTCAGGATTTAAGGCTGGATCTAGTGTACTCTGATCTGAGCGTGAGAGGAACAGAGGAACCAAGGAGGACCCACTGTGAGACTTCTTATGCTTGGGTATGGTATACATGATGGGGGTCTACTGAGGTCCTTTGGTCAGGGGCCAATCTCTGGCCTTGAAATGAAGAGTCAAAAGTGTCCTGCCCATTCTCAGGGTTGTAAGGTGGTCTTCCAAATAGGAGGCTGAGCCAGTGGGGCAGAATAGAAACATAGGTGCTAAGTGCCCTAAAAGTCTCCCAAGAGAAGGTGCTGCCATCAGTCCCTTTTATAGTGCACAGAAAAAGAAATCGAATGTGTAAGTTGTTATAAGAACTCCGGAGATGATGTTAACAAAGACTTGAGTTATGGAAGAAAAAGAAAAGTGTGAGTGTGTGTGTGTGTGTGTGTGTGTGTGTGTGTGTGTGTGTGGAAAGAGCGTGTCACTCAGGCCCACACACAGAGATGTGCCTCGACATCAAGGAAGGCCTCACCAGTTCCTAGCACCCCCACGTCCTGTGCACAAATGTGCAGTTTCTTACACATTTATAAACAGTTGAAAATCAGCGTACATTACACACTCATGCAGATGGTTGGTTTGGGACAGTTAAAAGGGACTTGCATGGTCCTTTGAGCCTTGCTTGTGTGAAGTCAGGAAGACCTGGGATTCAAGGCCTCTCCCACTTCCCTGTTTGTCCACTGCTTGGTTTCAGCAGACCAGCCTTCCTTTGGGGACCTTGGAGGTAAGCTGGGGACGAGGGGCCTGATGCAGCTCGTTGTGTCCTGCCTAGGTCAGCATCGGTTGCCCCGAGAAGATGGAACCCATCACCAAGATATCGCATATCCCAGCCAGCCGCTGGGCCCTGTCCTGCAGCCTCTGCAAGGAGTGCACGGGCACCTGCATCCAGGTACGTGGCTCCCTTCATACCCTGATGCTGGGGACGTTAGCAACCACAGTGTTCCTGAGCAGCCTGGGGTGTGGGGGGGGGGTGAGTCCTACCACCGGCCTTCACCCACTTCCATGGTGCTGCTGACATTTACTGGTGGCCGTAGGGATGTCTGGAACTAGGATCCCACCTGGAGGGCCTTCCTTCCGTCCCTCACTGCTCCAGGGAGTCGGGGTTGGGCATGGAGAGTTAGCTTACATACCATTGCAGTTGGGAGAATTTTGGCTTTCCCCAAGAATCAGTGCTTTGGGTCAGTACAGTGACCTCTTTTCTTATATCAAGCATGATTGGTGGGAGGGTTAGGAGTCAAACTTCCCCAGACAAGAGGCTTTCCCGTCACAGGGCAAAGCTGGAGTAGACTGTCTGTAGCAAGCAGTAGTTCTCAAATCTCAGTGTGCATTTGAATCACTTTGTGAAAACAAAGATTACTGGAGCCCCTCGCAGAGGTTTGGCCCAGAAGGTTGAAGTGAGGCTGATGCTTTTGGTCTGTCTGTCTTCTCGTTCTCTCTAAGAACAGAATTGTCATTGCCAAAATTAGGTATGCCTCATCCACTCACCAACCAAAGACCAAACCCATGGTCACTGGGTCAATTCCGACTCGGCAGTGACCCTTTAGGGCAGAGTAGAATTGACTCGTAGGGTTTCTGGGTCTGTAAATCTTCACAGCTCAAATTGCCAGGTCTTTTTTTCTACTAAGTGTTGGTGGGTGTGAACTGCTGACCTTTCGGTTAGCAGTCAAGCCACTTAACCACAGTGCCCCCTTTTCATCTATGCATAAGACTTTGAACAAGCTTGTGTGACTAGTGTCAGTGGTCACCAACCAGTGGATAGGCTATTGCTGAAGTGTTTTTCAGTTCTCCACAGCTGTCGTCTGAAGCTTGGAGAGGGGCAAGCCTTGAGCTCCCCGTTATTGTGGTGCCCCATGGCGTCAGAACCACCCATAGCTGACCCTCCAGCTGGTTTCCAAAGGCAGTAAATCACATAGGAGGAGACTGCCCGTCCTTATTTGAACCACGTGTCTTCAGGATTGCAGCTTAGCTTCTTACCCCTAGGCCACCAGAGCTCCTTTGAGCTCTCTGGGCAAGAGGAAAAGGAAATGTCCAAGTGCGGCACCTCCTTTCAGGAGACAGAGCAGCTGGGAGAGGTGGAATAGGACAGTCTTATCTTAGGTAATATTACCAAAGAATGAGAAACTTCTTTTAATACCTTCTGATCTCACAGAAATACAATTTGTCCCCAGAGGGGTTGCCCAGTTGTTTCTTGGTTGTTGATTTCCCCTGAGTATATAGTGCTGAGCCCGATCTCTTTCCCATGACATGCAGGTTCCCCCTTTTCCACTTGCCATACCTTCATAGCCCGCAAAATATTGGAGCCCTGCACATTTTATTTAGAGTCTCAGCAGTGTTCTGGATTCTCAGTGGAATCCTGAGGGAACCCCTTCTTCCGGCTCCTTTTCTGCCCCCTGTGCTCACCCTGACCCTATTCTTCCTCTCCTGCCAGTGCTCCATGCCTTCCTGCATCACAGCCTTTCACGTGACGTGCGCCTTTGACCATGGCCTGGAAATGCGGACTATATTAGCTGACAATGACGAGGTCAAGTTCAAGTCCTTCTGCCAGGAACACAGTGATGGGGGCCCTCGAGGGGATCCCACATCCGAACCGACAGAGCCCAGCCCCGCCAGTGAGGACCTGGAAAAGGTGACGCTACGCAAGCAGCGGCTGCAGCAGCTGGAGGAGGACTTCTATGAGCTGGTGGAGCCATCGGAGGTGGCTGAGCGGCTGGACCTGGCCGAGGCGCTGGTCGACTTCATCTACCAGTACTGGAAGCTAAAGAGGAAAGCCAATGCCAACCAGCCGCTGCTGACCGCCAAGACTGACGAGGTGGACAACCTGGCCCAGCAGGAGCAGGACGTGCTGTACCGCCGCCTCAAGCTCTTCACACACCTGCGGCAGGACTTGGAGAGGGTGAGTGCCCTGTGCCCACCCACCACCTGGTGGGCCATCTCCAAAACTATTTCCACTGTATCTTCACTGCCCAGAACTAGCTGTGACTCAGACGTGAGCTCTGGCCAGTTGGGCCTGCCATAGTGGATTAGCCAAGAGGCTGAGGGCTTCCAGGTCTTGGAAAGAATGAGTTGGCTGATAATTTGAGGAACAGGGAGGACCCAGCTGATGGAGGCTCTTAAGTCTCTTTGTCCCAGCCCTTTCTCTTTTCTTGTGAACTGGGTCCCCTGCCAGGGTCAGTAGACTGGGGAACACCAGTGATGGAACAAGGATCCAGACTTCTGAGGCCATTTGTCACTTCTGCCTTGCCCCCAGCACATGAGCTTTGGTTAGAATCTGAGGCAGAGAAGGAACTCAGGCCTCCCAGGCTGCCACCCTCGCCTGTGCTGAGTGCCTGGATGGCAGGTGTTAGGACTGCTCGGTCAGCCCGCCTTTGTGTGCGGGGCCAAGCAGGCCAGACAGCTTGGGCCCCAGGCAGAGGGAGCAGCAGAGCAGAGGCCCGGGGTGGAGAGTGAGGGGCCTGACGTGGGCCAGTGTGGAGCAGGGAGGATGAGGCTGACAGGGTCAGTTCCTGGTGGGTCTCAAGGTTAGTGGCCATACCATGCTAGAAAGCTGCCAGGAGCATTTTAAGCTAAGAATGCCTTAGTATGGTCGAAACTTCTAATGCCTCCTGGAAAAGGGTTCGTAGGCACCAGAGTGGATAAATTGACTGAGAGCCCCTCAGCTGTGTGCTGCAATAGCTTGATCCAAGCTGGTAGCTTTGGAATGAGATGAGAGAATGGAGGCCCCCAAAACCATTGATTTCCAAATCCCCCAGAAAAGTGAGTGGTCCTGCCCTCAGTAGGATGTAGTGAGGTGTGTCTTGAACTTTTGGCCTCACTGGCTCTCTTCGCCCACCTCCAGCTGTTTAATCACCTTCCTCCCCATGGTGGGAGCAGTGCAAGGGCGAGATAGGATATTATGGGTCATTGGCTCAGTCCTCTTACTCTCAGAGGCTATTCTAGCCTTTCTTCCTCTTTGAGACATTAAATTCTAGGCTTTCAGGCCTTGTGGTATCAGGCATGTCATGGTGGCTGCTTTGAATGAGTACACACATGCCCACTCTCTGCTCCGGCTGATCTAGGAGTCATCCCTGAGTGAAAGCATTGAAAGAGCTCTGGGTAGCCTTGGAAAGCTGCTGCTTTTTTTTTTTTTAATCTGCATCAGAGCAAGTCAGCAGGTATTGTAATGTACTGCAGAAGGGGAGACACGAGGTGGAGGGTCTGCCCTAGTCCCCCTCACTGTGCTAGCTTGCCCTGGGACTTGTTGGGGGTGGAATTAGGAATCACCCTGACTGGTGTTGGAAGAAGCCATCCTACCACCGAGTCAGGAAGAGACTAGCGGGGGAGGACAGATCCCATGTCCTGGTCTTAAACCAGCACAAAGGCCAGTGCCACTGCATACTAGTTCCCACCTGCTGGACAGCCTATCCACCTGCCTTATATGACAGGCTCGTCAGATACAGACTCCCTGAGAGCCACAGCTGCTACCAGAGTTGCCCTCAGGCCACCCCCATCTCCACCCACAGTGTGGAGACACTGGCTTTTGCTCCTGCCCTGTTTCCCAGACCACTGAGCACATCTGACTTCCCTGCCGTGTGCTGGGCATTTGTGGAGTCAGCCCTGGTTGGGTAGGCTGAGCAGGAAGCCTAGGGGCTGGGCGGAGGTCTTTAATCTTCCGGTGTCCTGGGGAAGGAAAGATGAGGTGGATACTTCAGTCCTGCTGAGCAGATGAGGAAACAACTTGGAAAGAGGAAGTGATGGAAACTCTTAGGAAGACTTTGCATTTACTAGGATTTGGGCTCGTATTTGGATCTTAATGCAGAATTGTTGGGACGAGAGATGTTGGTTTATGGTCTGTTCTGTTAATGATTTGGGCAAGAACAGTCTTTACCTGTTTCTTTAACTACCCTTGCCGCGAGGTTAGCGGGTACAGGTGGGGCTGGGGTGCCGGCGAGCATGCTGGAGCAAGGCTTTGGGGCTACAGAGAAAACAGAGCTGCTGGTCACACTCCTCTAATAGTGGACAGGACAGAGTCAAACATGAGGAAGAAGAAGCAGGGGAGACTGAGTCCTCTGCAGCTTCTTAGAGATTAGGAGGATCTTTTCAAAATATTGCTTCCCTAACAGCCCCTTAGCTGGGTTTGGGGATGCCAGCTCGACAGGATCGAGGAGGACACTGGTCTTTGGCACCAGCTGAGAGCAGGGTGTGAGAATTAGCAGCCCTGGCAGGGCCACGGCGAGGAAGGGCATCAGATACCGTGATGTGCCAGGCACGCCCAGCCATGGGGCCTTTCATGGCCACGCGTTGGTGACAGTGAATGAACAGGGTCGAGAACCGTGCTTGCGGGGGAGGCTTTCTGCAGAGACCCATAACTGTTGGTGGCCTGTCTAGGCCCAGTCTCTGACCATGGTCTAGTGCCAGCAACTGAGAGTGTCCAGCCTGAGCCGGGCAGCTGGCCAGCTTGGGCACGGAGCCATCAGGGAGGCGGCGCAGGGGTTAAGAGTGAGGCCTCTGGTTGGCTGTGTTTGCATCACTTCCAGCTTCCTGCTCCTAGTTTCAGTTTCCACATCTTTGCATTTCCCTTCCATATCTACGAAATGGAACTAAGGATCCTGCCGCCCTGGAGTACCAGGGAAGGTCAAGGTGCAGAGCTTACCTCCCTTTCCTCAGCTGTTGGCCACATTATTGATTCGCTTTGGTTGGACAAGCACTTTGGCTCTGAGGAGTAGAGAGGCTGTGCTTTGCACCCCAGGCAGGGCTGCACTGGGGGCCAGCAGGGCAAGGGGCGTTCTCCCTGATGGATCATTTACCTCTCTTCCCGCACAAGACTGGGCAGGATGTTTGCTGAGAAGCAGGCTCCAGCATGAAATCCCATTTTATGGTCAGCCCAGAAAATTTGCTTTCCTAAAATTTCAGCCTTAGGCCTTGGCCCTGGCAGGCGGCTTGGGAAGGCATGGCTATTGCAGCTTCCCAGATTTATTCACAGCCTAACAAAAAAATTGCAGCAGTGACGATTAGCCCGACAAACGCTGACAGGTGTCCCCTAGCAACCGTGTTGGCAGCAGGGCTGCACAAGGGGCCGCTGCCTGTGGCTGTGGAGCTGGTTACTCAGGGTTTACCAGAGACCCAGGCTGGCCCAAGGAGGGGCCAAGAGAATGAAGCAGCTCACACACATAAAATTAGAGAACTCCCCAAGGCCTCCTATCTACAGGCTCCCCCAAGAAGAGGAAGGCTTAGCTGAGAAGTGGGTCTTTTTCCCCTCCACCGTTGCCACCTGTCTCCTTGTTACTTGGCCACACCCCGTTTGTCCTCAGTGCCTGGCTTGGGATCCCTTTGGTCTCTCACCAAAGTTTATCTTATTCTGAGAAGCATCAGCCTCCAGGCCGTTGGCTCTTCATATTTCCTAACTCTAGGACTTTTCCAACCTATCAGTTCTCCCACCTGGCCCAAACCCAGTTATCCCCTCAAACTGCTGCTCCCAGGTCAGTGACAGGGAAATCTCTCAAAGCCCCTGCCTCCCTGTCCTCTCACTCTCTCCCAGCTCACTCATTTGACATTAGCCCACTGCCCTTCCCATTGTGCAGAGGTCACATCCTTAGTGGAGCCTCACCCAGGAAGAGCCATTGTAAACCCATCTCTGCAGGAGCGATCCTGTAACAGTGGCACACAGGTGTCCTGGGGACCAGCCAGCCCGTCACCCTTGGAGTCCACACTAGGTCAATGGACCTTTCCCTGTTAGCCTTTTTTTTTTACCCTCCTGGTTGCTGTAGAGTCAGTTCCTTCTCACACACAGCAGGGTTATATGTGGTAGAGCAGAGCTGTATTCTGTACCATTTGCAATAGCTGATTTTTCAGAAATATGTTGCCAAGCCTTTCTTTGGAAGCACCCACTGGTTGGACTTGAACCCCTAAGCTTTCAGTTAACTGTAAAGTGTGTTAACCATTTGCACTGCACAGAGGCTCCTCCTCTTTGATATTACACTTGAAATTCAAGAACTTGTCGTTTCACTAAGCCTGTTGTTGTTGAGTGCCATCAAGTTGGTCCAGCTCCTGATGACACTCCTTTTGAATGGCAGATCACAGAGTCTAGCTACATTCTGTTTAGCCTAGCTTACCCTTTCTCAGGAAGCCTTCCTCACTGCTACCAAGTCTGGTCTTGTCAGTACTTGCTCAGCACCTGTCTGCTCTGCCCTAAGAAGAAAGGAACCCTGGCGTTGTTGCTAACTGAGCCCAGGATCTCCAGCATCGCACCAGGCCACAGAGCTATAATCTGTGCTTAGGGGCATCTGGGGAAGGAGGTGCCCAAGAGTGGTCCTGAAATTTCAGAATTTGAAAGCAAGTCAGGACAAGCCAGTAGAAACCCCGGGCTGGGGCCAGGTGGTCTGGAGTAGAGCTGTGACTCCGTGGGAGTGGTGCTGTGGCTTGGTCTTTGCTGTTTAAGCTGAAAGGTGATGTGAACCAGTGTGGTGTAGCACCAGGAATACACACAGAGCCCGCTCTGGAGGCCAAGTCTGGACCAGATGCTTTGGGATGTACTTCATGATTAAGCTCAAGAAGGAAGTGAAGATGCTAGTTCTTGGCAGAGTGGCCTGAGACAACAGCTCCCTCCCTGCCTGGAGAAGTGGCACTCATGCTGAGAGGGGCTCTAAAACCAGAAGTCACCTCCTAGCAGCAGCTGAAAGATACAAAGACTGAAGTCCTTCTTGAAAACAGAATCCAGGTGGAGACAGAAGTACCAACTTCTGCTGGAGAGACTCTGGTGGGATCAAGGATTCAAATTCGGCTGTCCCTGCTTCATCCTGAACTGGAGATGATTCTCAGCCAAAGAAGCTTCTCAATAGAGGAAGCCTGATATTGGCCTCATGAACATGACCTCCCCTGAGAGCAGCAGAAGAGGGGTGGTGTACTGGGCTGAGGTGCAAGACCCTCCGATGACTTCTGTGCCCCCTGTGCTTAGCACATTGGTCTCTGAGGCCCTGAGGGGCTCTTCGGGGCTGGCCTAATGAAGCTGGAGAAGCCCTGTACACTAAGAAGTTCTTGCAGTGGCTGGAGAAACAAGTGAATATAGAGGCCTTGGCTGGAGCAGCCTGGCCAAGCTTTGGGTATGAGTGTAGCTGGTGGACGTGACTAGGCACTGCTGTGTGCTCAGAGCTATTCTCTAGCTTCTTGTACTGGGGTCATTTGTGACTCAGAGCAGTTGTTCGTTTTGGCTGTGGGGCTTGGAGCTGAAGAGTTTCAATAATGTTAAGGAGAAGCCGCGGACAGAAGCAAAAGTTTGGAACTTGAGAGAATTTGAGGAGTCTTGGGCCACTGCGTCTGTAGGGGAGAGCCGCTGTGTTGGAAGGACCTTGGGAGGCAGTGTGGCTAACGGTACCAGAAAGTTAAGACTGAGGAGGAAAGATTGAGTTACAAGTTCAAGTTCACCAGATGCTTCCCTCCGGCTCAGCCAGGAGCCACAGGGCCAAGGGTATGCCTGGGCCTATGGATTGGGGCTGGGAAGTGATTCCCAGCTGTCCCAGGCAGGATAAGCAGTGGAGACAGCTGAGGTCAGTCTCTGCCCTGGGCACTGTCTTCACCAGCACAAAGTTCCCTAGAGCTGGGAGGTCAGAGCTGCCCATGAGTAAGGTGGAAAATCTCTCTTGTGTTTTCTCAGGTTAGAAATCTGTGCTACATGGTGACAAGGCGCGAAAGAACGAAACACGCCATCTGCAAACTCCAGGAGCAGATATTCCACCTGCAGATGAAACTTATTGAACAGGATCTGTGTCGAGGTAGGCGTCTTCCCTGCCCGCCACCAGCCACATTCTGGAATGGGTCCCAAGGAGGGTGCATCTTCAGGGCCTGCTGGGGGCCAGGCACCACTGGACCCCACTCCTACTCTCTGCTGTCCAATTAGTAGGCTAAGAGGCGGTCCTCCCAGTGCCCTGGAGTCGTGTGTTGGTAGGCACAGAAGCAGAGGTTGGAATGTGGGCATCGAGCTTCCCTCAGGAAACTCATTCAGCTCCAGGGCCAGAGGCGTCTGGAGCATGTAAACAGGGCTAGACCCGTGGTCCTAGTGGCTCTGTGCTGGTGTGGAGGATGGAAGGGCCAGAAGCTGGGACACCTCCAGCGCTCTCCCTTTCTGAAGGAGGCAACTGTCCCAGAGATGGATCAGGACTTCTGTGCTCATTCTGTCTGATGCTGTTTGCCTTGGAATTAGGGTCCCACATCAGTAGATTTCTTCTCCATTTTCTTCTGATTCTTTCACCCTCTGGAAATGAAAGAAAGTTCTGATACTGCTTTTACCTATTAATTGTGGATATTACCAGACACAGGACCCTTCTTGAGTGTTGACACTTTAAGAAGAACAGTGCTTAACTCGAATGAATATGGCTGTGACACCAAACTACATGCCACAGGAATGTATCCGTGATGAAAGCTTTTGACTAAGGGCTGCCACTACCAGCTCGGCCTCTTGGTGAGGCTGGGCTTGGAGTGGAGAGGACGGTTGTTGGGCTCCCACAGAAGTGACTGAGACGGGGGTTCCCTCAGTTGTACTTGGGTATCACTACCCACTCTGGGACACCAGCTGAGTGCATGCGTTGGATCAGGGCAGGTTGCTGTCATGTGATGGTCAGAACTCGCAGCAGACCCCCGGACTGTGGCAACTTTTCAGTTTCCGGAATTTTCCAGGCTCCCTTGTGTGTTTATTCAGTGAGTGCTAACTGCGCGTGATGAGGTGCTCCACAAGGCAGATTGCAGCGGCCTGAGAGAGTGGGCTCCTGCCCTTGGGGAGCTCACCACCTGGAAGGGCAAAAGAAAACGAACCCATGGGCATGGCGTCTGAGAGGCTATGGTGGTTGCCTACACAGAGATGGGAGAGTATCATTGTGATTTGAGAGGGGATTGGACAGTGCTGGAGCAGTGCTCCCAGGCTTCTTGGCATCTGCTGTGACCACACATCCAGAAGCAGAGCTCTCGTGGACCCTGCAGGCCCCACCCACACAAGGCACCTACGAGCAAAGATGCAGGGAGTGGACTGAGCAGTGCCCTTGGGTACGGGATTCCAGAAACCAGCACCTCAGACCACTTCTTTCTGGTTCTGTCATGGCTGAAATAGTAAAATCAGAGTAGACTCAAATTTGTAAAATATGGTGTATTGGAACAGTAACTAGAACAAGGAAAACTATAGGTTGATGTCCACTAAAAACTTAATCTTTCTATTAGAAAACAAGGGCATGGCAACCAAATCTCTTGATCAGCTTGTAGACCGCAGTGCCACGCTCAGAAATGGTGGCCACTTTATGCTGCATGATAGTATTGCTCTCCACAGACCTGGCAATAATCTCATCTGCCACATCCAGCTGCTGAAAGGACTCACCGAGTTCTTATTTCAAGGCTTGAGTCTGTAATTTTTCCCATTCCAGTTACTGTTCAGATGTAACCAATTAAAAAAAAAAATCAGGTTTGTTCCTATCTCAGTATGTTGGCCATGACTGAACAGGTTTAAACTGGTTTGAAGCCTTCCTAGAAAATGTAGTCAAGAATCTGGAAAGACCCCACCAGGCATTGCCCTGGACACATTGCAGCTCCCTGACGTTAGTGGCCGGAACAGGCACCTTTTTCTTCAGAACAAGGCATTTGGAGGGAGAACTGATTTAGTCTCGCTTGGACGGATACCCGTGCTACCGTGATGCTTAGCTCTTGGGATATAAAACAGGTAACGAGTATGAGTTCTAGCCTGGACACTGAAGAAGGCTTCCCACTGGAGGTACTGTTTAGGCTGCAAACCGAGTAAAGGAAAAGGCAGAAAACAACATATTGGAGGAGACGTGGAGGCCAGGCATGTCTTTTTAGAGAAACCAGGAGGAAGCTAGCATGGCTGCCCCTCAGACAAATGTGCACAGTGAGACTTGAGGGAGTGTCACTATCATGCGGGCCAAGCCTTATAACCTGGGGCAGGAGCACAAACTATCCTGATGTCAGTGGGGAGTCACGGAGGCCTCCCTTCCCCTTCCCAAAGCATCTCCGCTCTGATCCATGTTAAGGAGGAGGAGACTGAGGCCAGCAAATAAGAAGCACCTGGCCTAAGTTTGCATTGTGGGTTAGCAGCAGAACTAGGAAGATCTTCGGAGTTGGAGCCGCACCTGTCATTCCACCTTTTCTTTAAACCCTTATCTGGGAAGCCCTTTTCCCTCCAGTGTAGACACTGAACAAGAGGACGAGAGGCCTCCAAGTTTGTGGAGCCGACCCATACACACACTCCCCTCCCCTGCTCTGCCCTTCTCCTTGGGTTTGTGGACTGAGAGGGCATGAGCACCAGGTGTGTGTTCTAACTCTCGATTTACTACCAACCTTTAAAGTAGACCCAGAGGAGGCAGGGGACTTGTATAAAAAGGTTGACCATTGTACCAGGACTGGATGCCCTTTGATTCTTCAGGTAGTATTCTATCCTGGTGTTCATGTCTAGCTCCTTGACCTGGTGTTCACAGCCTGCTCTGTCCAGATTCACCTTAGTCAGCCTTCCGACACCACCAGGAAGCTCTATAATTCACATAGGGCATGTCCTGTGTGTAGGTCAGCTCTATGCAGGCTTCTCTTAACTCTATATGCTGCCCAGACTTTTTAAGGCAGCAATGGACAGGAAATCCTCTCTCCCAAACTGTCATTTCACTCACGGAAGCCCCGTGGGGGTACCCCAACTCCCACATTCGCACAGCTCACCCAGGCATAGGTACAGGGAAAGGTAGCCTGCAGGGTAAGGCACTGAGATCGTGCAGGACTCCTGGAATGATATGCAATGACTTAGGTTCTGAGTGAAACTGCTTAACGTAACTGCCTCGATCATCCTCTCCTTTTTCTTGACACAGAGCGATCTGGGAGAAGAGCAAAGGGCAAGAAGAACGACTCAAAAAGAAAAGGCCGAGAGGGCCCCAAGGGCAGCCCAGAGAAGAAAGAGAAAGTGAAGGCCAGGCACGAGTCTGTCCTGGGGCAGCTGGGTGAGTGAGTGGCCGTGCTGGCCTGGTGGACAGCTCAAACCATCACCTCACTGTGACCCTCCATAAAGCAGCACCCCAGTGCACAGCATAGGAGACCGAGCCGCAAGAGCAGTGTGCCATGTGCTCTTCTCTTCCTGAGATGTCCCCTTGTTCCCCTTTTGTGACCTGGAGACTCAGAAGCATGACTTTTGCTAGATTTTTCCCAGAGGTCTGCAGGGATCCACAAGGCCCTTTAAGCCCTTTCAGAAATCCAGCCCTGTGGTGGGAAGTAGTGGTCAGCTAAAACCTCAATCCCAGCCCCACTCTGCAAGATGTCCTCATCTGAGCCCTGGCATCATGGAGAGAGCCGGACTCCATCCCACACATCACTATCTCTGACACCAACACCTAATGCCTTGTTTGGAGTCCCCTGCTCTGGGAAGTGTGGGAGGCACGGCTCATAAAAGCCCAGCGCCCCCTGGTGGTGTGAAGGTGTCAACTCTGTCCTCTTGGTGGTTAACTCACCCGAAGGTCCCGCTTCAGATCCACCACTGCTCGTCTGTCTCCTCCAGTAACACAGCCCTGGGGGGCTCTGTATGAGTCAGACTGGGCCAAATTTGGGTTTCCCCCTCCCCCAGGGTGGAAAATGGGGGTGGACTGGGCCAACTTCATTGATGTGGGAACTGTGCAGCTACACAGGATCCCACCCTTTGAAGGGCCCTGTGTTTGGTTTACTACTCTGCTCTTGCCAGCTTGAAAGTGGGTTTTTTAACAAAAGACCTTACATTTTAAGTTTACACTCTACCCTGTAAATTATGTAGCCAACCCTGGAGATGAGTGGTCCTTCAGGGAGAAAGATATGTGTGTGGAACCTACGCTTTGGTTGTGTTTATTTGATTAGGAATGAGAGATGGAAAGTACCCTGCTCTGTGTACTGCAGATAATCACTGAGGGCTTCCTGGAAGAGGGGGTGGGTGGGACACACACACCTGCTGGCATCTCACCTTCCTCCTTTCTCCCATTGGCCAGGCCTGTCCACTCCATTTCCCATCGATGGCACCTTCTTCAACAGCTGGCTGGCACAGTCAGTGCAGATCACAGCAGAGAACATGGCCATGAGTGAGTGGTCTCTGAACAATGGTCATCACGAGGACCCTGCCCCGGGGCTGCTGTCAGAGGAGCTGCTGCAGGATGAGGAGACACTGCTCAGCTTCATGCGGGACCCCTCACTTCGACCTGGAGACCCCACCAGGAAGGCCCGAGGCCGCATCCGCCAGCCTGCCAAGAAGAAGCCGCCGCCATCACAGGATGGGACAGTTCCACGGACAACTCCAGATAAATCCCTCAAGAAGCCCTGGGGTCAGGATGGAGGCAGCTACAAGGGAAGTCAAGGGCCACCTGCCAGGAGACCACATAGGCGGACACCTTCTCACGTGCCATCCAGCCCTACAGCTGGGGACTGTCTCATCCCAGAAGCCCCTGAGAGCCCCCCACCACTGGTCCCTGAGGCCCTGGATGAGGTGGCTCCCATGGCTGCTGACTCGAATGTCCAAGTGCCTGGCCCCACGGCAAGCCCCAAGGCCTTGGGCCGGCTCCGGCCGTCCCGTGACAGCAAGGGAAGCCGGAGGTCACCAGGCCAGATGCCTGGGACAGAACTGCCTCCTCCTGTGGCCGAGAGGCCAAAGGTCAGGCTGCACTTTGACACCGAGACTGATGGCTACTTCTCAGATGGGGAGATGAGCGACTCCGACATAGAGGCTGAGGACAGTGGGGTGCAGCGGGGTCCCCGAGAGGCAGGAGCTGAGGAGGTGGTTCGCATGGGCGTACTGGCCTCCTAACTCACCTCTGCCTTGTCCTGGGTCCTGCCCTGGTCACCCACAAGGCCTCAGCTCAGTCACAACTGCCATTTCCAGTCTCTGCTGAGTGTCCCAGACCTACAAGGCTGCCACTCTGTTATGGTTTTATTTTTAATATAGAGAGAGTTTCTGATTCCACACTGTTGTCTTTCCTCTATGCTGGCCTAGGACATTAGGATTCCTCTGTGGCTCTGGCCACTGGGGCCGTGCCAGGTCCCCTGTACTGCTCCTGCTGGGTGGCCTTCCTCCCCCAGCCTGCACAGCCCCATGGGCTCCTGGCTAGACATAGGCAAAGTAACAAGAGCCCAGGACTCTAGTCCGCTGCCGCTGGTGACACTGACTTGTTAGGGCATTATTTCATGGCAGATGGGCCAGCGCAGGGCCTGCCCCGCCTTGCCCCCAGATCCCACTGGGGTCCATTTGGGGGGTCCTGCTGCACTCCACTGATCCCCAAGGAAGTATACCAAGTGATCCCCGGCCAGAGTCTACTCACTGTCACAAGCACAACGAGCTTCTCTGAGAAAGCACTGAGGGGTGCAGAGGCCGGCTGGTTTCACAGGAACCAGTAGTTGTTCCTCATCAGCCCATGGCATGTGAGGCCTGCCTCCCACCCCGTCACCCTCCCTCCCTTGCTGCTCCGCCCCTGCCAGCAGCGCCCAGCCCAGCGGTTCTGGGAAGAGGTTCCCAGAATCCTTCCTAGGCTGCGCCATTTACTCAGGGGACTCCCAAACAGCCAGCCGCCAGTGCAGGCAGGGAGCTGCAGGGGAGGGCCAGTGCCCAGACGGCGTGGGGCTCCACCCAGCCCACCCCAGAGAAGCACCCCGGGCTCCAACTTCCTTCTCCCTTTGGGGCCAGTCTCGGCCGAAGTCTGGTCACTTCCAGGCAAGAGCTGACCAGACCAGACCGTTTGCCTTTTCAAGTTTCCCAGTCCTGCTAAGATAATGAATGAGCTTCTTCCTCGGTTTCCTTTTGGAAACACATCCTTCCAACAAGCAGTGGGATCCCGGGGCCTGGGGTGGGCCTGTGTTGGCCTGCTGGCCACAGTTTTAAGTCTTGCTGGATGTCCCTGTGTTCCTCTGTCCCTCTGAGCCTTAACCCCTTTCCCTGCCAGTGTCCCTCACTCCCACCTCTCCTCACTCTCCCACCCCTCCCTCTGTCCCAGGTCGTTGCTCTGAAGAGTTTCAGTGAGTGGCCCCAGGGTGATAGCTCAGGGAACCAACAAAAGGAATTCCGTGAAAATATTTGTTTTTCTCTTTTACGAATTATTCCTGGGTCACTTCCGCCACTAGTAAGGCCAGAACTTCTCCAACAAGAACCTGTAAAAGTCCAGTGAATCAGTCGAATCATTCTATGGATGCCAAAGAATATTTTGACCATAATACAGCACAGCCTGGACCTGACAACTTTATCGTTTGGACTTTTTTTTAAGTGGAGTTCTTTAACAACCAAGTATAGCACCGTGTTCGCTGCACATACCCAAGGAGACAGTCCAGGCTCTGCGGAAGGGAGATGCCCTGTCACCTGGGCTTGGCTCTCAGATCCAGGGGTTGGCTGGCTGTGAGTTTCCTTAACTGAGACTCAGATGGGGGAAGAGGCAACAAAACCAGCTTGGGGAAAGTCTCATTGGTTCCCCACACTTAGATACAAAGGACAGAAATAAAGTGGGATGGGAGCAGCTCAGTCACCCACCCCTGACTCCAGAACAATCAAGGTACGACAGTGGTGTTGTCATTGACACTCAGTTTCATGTGAACTTTAGCAAAACCGAAAACAAAGATAATGACTCAGTTCAGAGGATCTCACAAATGTGTCCGGTTGCAGTGGACTCGGAGGGAGTGGGTGTTAGAGTTCTGGGTGTTGGGATGGCATGAGCTATGCTGTAGGGCTTCGGCTGCCTGCCTTCCTTCCTTCCTGCCTGCCTGCCTGCCTGCCTGCCTTGGTAGTAGTGGCCAGTGCAGTATTGGCCTCCCAACCCCAGTCTTCGTTTACTGCCTTTGAACAGACCTCCTTTCTCCTCCGTGCTTTGGGTCACACGGTTCATGTGCTGGATTGCTCATCTGATCCCTCAGGAAGCAAAGGGACAAACTTAAAGTACAACCAAATTCTGCTAGGGGTTGGGGGTGGCAAGGATGGCTCCGTACTGAGTGACTAGCCATTTCGTTCCATCCTGGCCTGTAGTCTTTACTCTAGGGAGGGGGCAGGTGGAGAATCCAAAGAGGGCAGCAGGGCTGAAGCGGTTGGGCCAGCTGGAACGGGGCATTCCACACACAGCTTGTGCTCAAGCCTCCCTCCTTGATTGGCTATTACTTTGGACCAGACTATCCCTGTGTCCTGTGTAGAACCTAGTGTATCTGATTGATGGCACTTTGTTCCCAGGCCAGGCCGTAGAGCTGTCCTCACCAGCCAGCTGTCCACATCCAGCATGTCATGAGGCTGCAAGCAGGACAAGGTTACTTGTCCCTGCCCCCTATTCTCTCCCCATCGGCATGGTCCCCTCACTCTTGTCCTCTCCTCCCACAGTCTAGAGGTCTTGGCTGCCCCTGGTGGGCAGCAGGGGGAGGAGGCAGGGGCCTTCTCCAGACCAGCGGGATCTTTCACTTGACCACCTTTGCCCACACTCACCTGGCCCTACTCCAGGAGGGCGAAGCTGCTCTGTAACTCAACTCTGGCTGTCACTCCTTCCATCCTGGCCTCCTTTCAGGGGGAAAATGTCTTTACACGCGATCAAGATCCACCACCTCTTTGCCCTTCCTCATAGTGAGAAGGGGTAATGTGCAAGGAAAGTATTTTTATGTAAATGTATTTTGGAACAAATAGGGAGAGGAAAGTTAGAAGGGTTTATTTTATTAAATGAGCTCCAGCATAGCAGTGTGAGAGCATTTGCTATGTCAGGGCATTGGTGTCTCGGAGAAACCACCCAGGTTCCCAGCCCTGGGTGCTCAACGGGTGTGTGAGCGTGTACAAGGGCACAGCTCTTGTGTCCATGTGCACACGTGCCTGCGTGTGTGTATGTAGGATGTGCGCGCTCTGCGGGGCCTGCTGCCATGGCTCTACATCAGCTGCCCAGTTCTCATGGGCATTTGCGGCAGTTGGACTTGGCATTTCCTTACCCCGTGCCAGATGTGGCCAACTTATGCCCATGCCCATGCGTGGCTGCAGAATGAGCTGGTTCCTGCATCCAGATCCTTGGGGAGGCCACTTTCCCATGCCTCTGACCCAGCTGGCCACATTGGCCAAAGAGCCAGGGCTGGAGGCTGGGACTTATGGTTGTTTTTTGAGGCATTCCTCTTTTCACACACCACTTTGTGTTCCACGTCAGTTGTGGGGGCGGGGGATGATATGAATGTCACAGGAGGAGATGCCTTCTGTCTTTGTTTCAAAGAACGTGATGTGCCATTTGTTAATATACAAGAGAAATATTGAAAATATATTGAAAAGAGCAATTTTAAATTATTTTTGGCTTATGTTGCAATATTTATTTTCTTGTATTAGAGAAGATTCCTTTGTAGAGAAAAAAATGTATTTTTCATTAACGCAAAGACCTATTTCTCCTTTTTGTACATCGTCCATGTTCGCAACCCTTTAACAAGCAATAGAATGTGTGGCCGCCTTGGTGGCCAGTGCCCGCTGTGCCCTGCATGATTCTGTGTTGCCGCTGCTGCATAGCTCCCAGCCCCATCATGTCCTGCTCACTTCATGGGGGCTTCCAGATTCCACCCCCTGCCAGGGCCTGTGTCTTAAAGAGCCCTTTGCACTCCTCGTGTGTTGGCAAACGCAGTTAATAAAGCAATGTTTTCTGTGCTGGCTGGTGTGAGGCTCTGTTGCATTGGGGTAAAGGACCCTGGGGGGCAGGGGTCAGCTTGGGTTGCCTCCTGTGTACACACCCAGCATAGCCTTGGTCAGTATCCCAAGGTAGCAGCTGCATCCTGCCTCCCAGTGAATTAAGTGCCGTGGAGTCAATTTATGACTCATAGTGACCCTATAAACAAGGCTTCTGAACCCTGCTAACCATCTCTGACATAACAAAAACCCACCGGTAAAGTCACTATGTGGTTCCTTGAGGGTCTTTCTGACACTATCCTTCCAAACATGATGTCTTTTTCCAAGGACTGGCCCCTCTTAACATGCCCAAAGTTTGTGAGATGAAGTTTCACTATCTTTGCCTCCAAGGCTTCACATTTTTCCAAGATATTCGTCTTTCCGGCCGTTGCTTGGGAAACTCAGCACTCTTCTCCAACACCACGACTTAAAGTCATTCATTCTTCTGTCATCCTTATTCATTGCCCAGTTTTCATTTCTTTTCAGTCCTCTGGAGAGGTCCTTGACAGCTGAATTTCCCAATGCAGTATGTCTTGATTTCCTGGCTGCTGGTGCCAAGGATGCTGATTGTGGATCCAAGCAAGAGGGAAATGTTGCAAATGTTGTTGTTGTTGTTATGTGCCGTCGAGTTGCTTGCGACTCATAGCGACCCTATGTACAACAGCCCTAAACTCCACTCTGTCCTGTGCCAATCGCACTGTCTCTGACACTCCCATCCCAATTATCCCAGTCACTGAATCAATCCACCTCATAGAGGGCCTTCCTCTCCTGCGCTGTCCCTCCACTCTCCCAAGCATGGTGTCCCTCTCTAAGGACCAGTCTCTCCTCACATGTCTAAAGTATGTCAGACGGAGCCTCAGAATCCTTGCCTCCAAGGAGCCACCTGGTTTAACCCTTTCCAGGACGAATCTGTTTGTTTCCCTAGCAGTCCATGGTATTCTCAATACTCTTCTCCAGCACCACAGCTCAAAGGCATCAATTCTCCTTCTATCCTCCTTGGTCATTGTCCAACTCTCTGATGCATAACAAGTGATTGGGAAGCCTGTTTCAGACGCACCTTAGTCTCCAGAGAGACACCATTGCTCTTCAGTACTTTGGAGAGGTCCCTGCTGGTGCCAAGACTGTTAACTATGGAGCCAACCAAACTAAAGCTGTGAACAATCTCAATCTCTTCACCATCCATCCTGATGCTGCCAATTGGTCCAGTGGTGAGAATCTTTGTCTTCTTGACATTGAGCCTCAATCCATATTGTAGGCTGCAGTCCTTGACACTCTGCAGCAGGCGCTTCAGGTCCTCTTCAGTTTCAAATAGGAATA